CCAGACACTGGGGCACAAAGTCAGCCAACCCTACCTCCTCGTCCTGTATCGGCCCTATCGTCCAAAACACTCGTAACACAAATACAGTCTTTCCTATCCATGGCGTGGATTGAGTGCACTGGGAGTCTATCTGCCAGTCCTGAGTGGCACTACAGGCCAGTGTCTGGACATTCAATATCTTTCCCGTAATCTCTTCAGCATTAATGGCACCGTTAAGTCGCGCCACCACCTCATCGATGCTCTCAAACCTATTACTTTTTGAATCCAGAATCCGGGGCTCAAAGTCCCGGAACTGTATCTGCGGTACAATCGGTCGCACCTTCTCGTTGTACTCGCGGGTATCAAAAGGTCGTACCCATAGCCTCAACATCTTGACGTATAAATTTACCGGTACTTTATAGGTAAGTAGACCTGTTAGGTGAACTCCCTCGTTGTATGTATCAGGTATGGTGTATGTGGTCAGTACCCTTTTCCGCTCAATGAACCCGTAATCGTTGAGTTGGATTTGTATGATAGCACCGACAGTCTCGCAACTGATTACATCCCAGTGCTCCCTGTCCAATAGCCATTTATTTGCAAAGTCTACCAGCTCACTAGTTTACATAATTTAAATGCTTGTCTTAATTTTAAATTAATATATAATAAATTAACAAATATAATATGATGTGCTAGTTTCAAATATTGTTTATTTTCAAAATTCCCAAAATTATTGTATAACATAATGCCAATACTATTTGTTGTAACCCATAGCAACTCAAAATGATTATATTAAAAACAAAAAAATACTAATTTATATAACCTTATAACCAACTTAATAAACAAGAACACTTTAATGTAAACCAACTAACTTGTTCCTTTTAGTAAAGGAAATAAATAAATATATTTTAACAATTTACCTGTTTGTGATATATGCAAGCTTACCATGCTCCACTTTAAATATGGGCGCGAAGTCTACAAATGTGAGCCTACACTTCCTTTTAGGTGGTAGGTCATCATCAAACACTATGATATTATCTACTCTTAACGTTTTATCTAGTAATCTTTGCTGGATACGATTTTTCATTATAGAATAGGTACTAATATTGGCGTATGTATATTTTTACTACAGAATAAATATTATAAAGAATATTCTGTTGAACACTACATACAATATAAACAATATAAACAGCATTCATACAATACTGAAATACATGCGCTCTCAATGTCTGTCCACCCACTATCTGTTATTGCATAATCTATTAAATTTTTGTTTACAGAATATTCTTGTTTTTATTTTATGCAATACTTTACTGTCAACTTAAATTAAACAAATTTTATTTAAAAATATATTTATATTATTACAGCATTTCTTGTACTGTATTATTAATATTGTAAAAGTGATATTAAGATTATTAATTTAAAAATTGTAAGATACAATTCTGTATCATGTAAAGTTAAAATCTTATTTTATATTTTTATAATAAGTTAAAAAGTAGAGATTTACACTTGGTATTAATAACATTAAGATCAATCCCTTTATATTGGTCATAATCAATTGTATGGCAGTAATATAATTAGCCACGCATATAGCGAAAATTTGAACAAGGTAACAAAATATTTGGCAATTTATAAAAATTACATAAAAATAAATATATAGTAGAATATATGGAATGTATGTATTAATACAATATGGTGATTAGATATACAGTATGTTAAAAACAATTAACACTTGATATTAAATATGTAGCAAGTTAAATAATCGCGCACGTGTCCTGGCTATTTGTAGCCGTTGACCTTTGACCCTGAGTATGATCAACACCATAGTATCCGACATCATAATAGAGTCTAAGCGCAAAATATTCCCTACGACTGAGGGTTAGGTTGGAGGACAGGAGGGCCTGAAAGGACTGATCGCTGTTTGACTCCAACGATGTCTTGAGACCATTGTTGGCAAACACGGGAACCGTTTGGCAGCTCATGAGATGCCACTTGAATTGGGTTTGCGATGTCAGCCACTCATCCCTTCCCACGAAGTCATTGATCGCGCGCTTGATTTCCGAGTAGTCCTTATGTAAAACAAACGTCCGGTGCTCGAGATATATGGGTGGAGGCGGTGGGAGTGTCAGGCTTATGGGTATATCTTCGGGCACTTCCCGGGGTTTGGTATACATTATGCGTAATATGCGTATGAAGTCCCCGCCCCCACGGGCAGACATCTTTTTGGTGTCAATGGGAGTCCCTATAATACATAAATAAATATGTACCTGTTAATAATATTGGAAATAATACTACAGCATACTTAGTAGATTAAGTTATATCATATGCGAACATGCAAAATACAAAATGCATGTATTATATTAAAGTTGATAATGTATTGTATTAGGTTTAATTAACTCAAAACAAAACTTATGACATTTGTTATTTTTCACGCCATGTATTTATATTTGAAAAACTAACAGTGAACTAATATATTAGTGATTACTAATTACAGTTTGTTTTGTACAATAATATAAAACTATTTGCTCTACACTATCATAATACAGAATTGTAATTTAGTTACAAAACTATTATAAAATATATGTTAACTAAATGTAACAAATAAATAATTCAAAATAATATCATATACTCACAGCCATTATGATTCACATCCAATGACATCGCACTACAAAAGTTAATCTCCGGATTTTCGGACAACCATTTCGAGGCCTTCCGTAATAGACAGGACTGGGACTCAAACTTTGGTCTCTTAAACAACTCCTCCCCTCCTAGACATTGGGGCACAAAGTCAGCCAACCCTACCTCCTCCTCATGTATGGGTCCCAACACATAGAAAACCCTCAACACGTATACCATCTTTCCCTTCCATATCATACTCTGAGTGGACTGGGGGTCGACCTTCCAGTCCTGAGTGGCACTACAGGCCAGTGTCTGGACATTCAATATCTTTCCCGTAATCTCTTCGGCATTAATGGCACCGTTAAGTCGCGCCACCACCTCATCGATGCTCTCAAACCTATTATTACTTGAGTCCAGAATCCGGGGCTCAAAGTCGCGAAACTGTATCTGCGGTACAATCGGTCGCACCTTCTCGTTGTACTCGCGACTGTCCACGGGTTTGATCCATACCCTGAGCATTTTGACCGGGTGTGTGTTGCACCCGAATACGGGACCTTGCTCATTCGTTTTGAACTCCTTGCATATCCGTTTGCCGATTATAGCCCCGCTTTGGCTTACGTTTATGACTAGTATAGCGTTGACAGTCTCGCAACAGACCACATCCCAAAACTGCCGGTCCTTTAGCCACTTGTTTGCGAAGTCCACGAGTTTTCTGTAATTAATATAAAATTATTTTAAATATTTTCTCAATTCTGTATGTATTATATACAAGTAACATAATGTATATAACATTTCCTTGATAAATCAAATTTAAATTCCTAACATAAAACTATTATATAACTAAAATACTAACATTAGTTAGCTTTGTTAATTTGTACTAATTTAAAATGCACACTTTTTAGATAAATATCTAGCTAAATCTAGTGGACATATTTAGTTATTAAGTTATAAGCATCATATTTACGTGTATTGAACGGATAATAATGAAATGTCATTAGGCGATGTCATCAGTGACCATGATCCAATTCTGTCCACTAGACCCACCTTAAGTACGGGTGCGAAGTCCACAAATGTTAACCTACAGTCCCTTCGCGGGGGTAGGTCCTCATCAAACACAATAATGTCATCAATTTTTAATTGCCTATCAATGTATCGCTTTTCGATATTCTGTTGCATAAAACGATAGGCCATTTTGGACACCGATTCCTGGCTATCATCACACACAGAATATTCTGTAAACAAAGAATTTGTCGACAAATCTATTCAAAAACATTTGAAATAAATACGAAAACAAATGATTACAACATGTCTGAGCAATTCAATTGAACGTATTGTATAATAATCATAGCATACATGCGCTCTGAATCCCTATCCCCCACAATAATATGATATATCGATTGAAGTTTGTTTATCACAGAATATTCTGTGATTCCCTGTAATTGTATATATTTTGCATTAAGATTAGATTTATAATGCAATATTCATTCAAAAAATTTATTTAACATTATTTACACAAGAATTTATAGAATATTCTGCAAAAAATAATTTAAATATATTTTCATAATCAAATATTTGTACAACTAAATTAAAATAAAATTATTTATTTATCTTGCGCAATTTCCATATATAATGAACACTCGTTATAATCTACACGAAAAACAGTTACACCATTATTATCATGGTAATTTATTAGTATTTTATAGTAAACAACAAATCAATGAAATATAAATATTTTTGTATCACGAAAAGTTAAATTGCTTTTGAATTACATGTAAATGATTTGAAAACTAAAAGTACTTTTCAAGTACTGTATGACTACTTATATACTAGTAATTAAGTTGACTATAATTATATAAACTCTGCTTGAATAAATATTGTGCTTAAAGTCAAGTAGTATTATAATAAGATTTAAGATGTGTTAACAGGATTTACACTGTTTATATAATTTATTTAAGCACATACATACAAAAAAGTTTATAACACTTTATTAACACACAATTAGATTGAAAACATGTGTTTCTGTAATCAATGGAAAGTAGTCATGAATTGTATGTTTGAATGAAATGAAAACAATTTATAAATAACTGTATTATTATTTTAAGAGTTTAGGAATTTTTGGATTTACTTTATTTTTTTGTATAGTTTGAAATAATGTATAATGCTAATTTTTACTAATATAAATTATGCAATTTATTAAATGAAAAGTTTTTGGGTGTGAAAACTGTAATAAGGTAATTTGTTTTTATAAACAGTATCAAAATCAGTTATATTTAATAATATTTGTTATTTAGTTATTTGGTATTTTTTTTAATGTTTTACTTTTTAAGACATTTTAAACATAGTATTGCACTTACTATGTAAATTATTTGTCATTTTAGTGAATATTATTTAACAAATATAAATAATAAAATTTCCAGCAGTATAAATTAAATATAGAGAAAAACTGAATATGTAATTCAGCTAACATAAACAAAATATTTTCAATCTAATAATAAAGTACATTTTAATCTAATTTATATCAGGCTCAAAAATTTCTGAAACTTAAAAATTATTCTTTATTTTAGATTAAACTTTCATTTATTTTCCGTTTATTTAGTTTATTATCTTAAGACTTGTCAGCAGTTCTTATGATAACCAGGGTATATTGAACACATCCAGTATATGTATTCAATAAAAAAAATATATTTTAATAAATTAAACATAACAAATAATTTTTTAGATACACAGATATATTTATATTGACTAATACTTTGCTATTTAATAAAATATTTTATAATTATATACTAATATGTCTAGACATAGCATCCCCTCCCAGGAAATGGTAGACTTCGTATGAATTACAAAAACTTTTGAATATATATTAGTTTTATTTCAAATTTATTTGCCGTGAAAAAATATATATGACATTCCCATGTAATACCAGTACTACTACCGTTCCCGTCAACATCTGTAATTCAAACGCGATATTCTGCCTGAGTTTTGGCACAAAATAACATTTTTATGAAAAAAATATTCTTTACTAATATATGAACAGAATTTGAGTTTTGTTTTCTAGTATTAAGTATTAAGTGCTAAGACTTTAGCTTCAAAAACCAAAAAAAACTACAGAATATTCTCGACAACAAAATTCTGGAATAAATTTTCGATAAAACTTATTATTCATTCAAATTCTGTAGAGCTTTGCATAAATAGTGGTAACTTTTATACACATTATTCTGCACTGAATTCAATGAGATTCTTGTCATTTTAAGCCTACAGTAGTCTCTCTCTCTCTCTCTCTCTCATCTATTGACTGAAAAATATTTTTCATTAAATTCTCATTGTTTTAGAAAATGTATATAAATTTATTTATTAAGTTATTAGCATAAAAGCAATGCCCAAAAGCATTTAATGAAATATCCAAAATAAATTTAATTAAAATAAATTCAAGCAATAAGCCGACTGTCCATTAGGGAGGGCATCATATATTCTAATTACTATTTTAATGAATGATGAGTTTATTTCAATTGCATTCGTAAAACAATAAACATTTATTAATAAAATAAAGTATTATACATTTTTAATAAATATATGAATATAACGATTCCGTACACATATTACTATAAATATTACCATTAATTCTTGAATAGCAGTCCATATGTCATATGCAGTTATAAATAAATACGATAAAAATATTAAAATAGCTATTAATATACAGATATTTATCGCCAAAAATATAATGTGCTATAAAAATATATAATAGTTTGCGTCAATTCTTAAGCTAAAAATTGATGATAAAAATGTGGTTTTAATTCAGTTTTCACCTTTTCTTTCAGTTTTACGTATGACTTTAGGATATGATCTCAGATTTGGAGAGAGAGAGAGAGAGAGACTCTTAAGCCGTACTAATGATGATAGAGAATAATGAGAGAGATTGTCGATAGGATTGCGAATATTCTGTGAATCCCACATACTGTACAGAATATATATATATAGCTATATATTTATATATCCATAGCAACCATTGCTTTTTCAAGTGTCACAAATTCCTTATGTGTGCTACTGTTCCCTTTGCTCCCTTTCCCACACGAGGGCGAGTATTATACGCTGAATAGTAGCAAAGCGGGAGTTAGTGTGCGAGTGAATAGTAGTGATTGAATCTCAATCGTGTGAAGTGTGCGAACAGTCGAGTCGCTAGCAAATGGGAACGACAGCCCTATGATAGACAACACACACATACACACTGAAAAGGAACGACACTTTCATTTAGTAGTGTCGGTGCCACACATACCGAGCTTAAGATTATATTCTGTATAATAATAATAGTTATTAAGTATATTCTTGACTTCAAGAATATTCTTGACATTATTCTCTCATCATATTAATTGATTCGGAGTCCGTTTTGATATATATTTTATTGTGTAGTCTATATTTGTTTGTATTTATTTTCACAGAATATTCTGCGAGAATTCGCGATAATCTTAATATAATAGTCATGTTATGGGTTATCATTTGTGCAATTATTGTGTTTATAGCGTTCATATGTATAGTCAGTATTTGCTGCCTATTTTTTGAGTCTAGTTATGATACCGCTTAGGATATACTGAGCTAGATTATTTATTTTGTAAGTTTTTTGTGGTAGTGTTTCATATTCATAATGTATATTTAAAGTATCAACGAATCATATATAGATTTATATAGTTTTTCATATGAATTGTGATATAAAGTGATTGTTGTATAATAATTATTATCATGAAGATTTTATATATTCATATGATTTATAACAAGCAGATTTTAATAAGCCAATTTTAAATGTGTAAGTATAATTTAAATTTATTTGTTATATTAAAGAAATTTTATATTTTATATTTATAGTAAAAATTATATAATAAATAAAATTAAATTAATGAGACTATATAAATAAAAATAATTAGTTTTATCATATATCTAATTATAAATATAATTAAACATAAAAATTTTAATAGTAATCTAATTTATATACAGTAATTTTATTTTTATCATAAATTAAATCCTACAAATTATCTAAAAAATATAAGTCCTATAAATGGTATATAATTTAAATTGATTGTAAAACTAGTCTAATTAAATAAGGCGTGAATTTTGCCATAAAATCTATCCAATTAAGTATTAAACGCTATAATTGATTGAATCTTTCATAGTCTTTCTCTCTCTCTCTCTCTCCGTCTCTCACTCACTCACTCACTCTCATCACTTCAAAGCTCATCTAATTATACGAATAAATTACACCAAAAAACCGGTGATAAAAGTCTTTACAAACTTCACAAAAGGCATTCAAATGTCTTATATGTAAGTCATGTCTCTCTGTACAGTATAATGCAATCAACAAAATAAGAGTTGGTTTTTATGGTGTAATGCATTTTAAATGCATATAATTCTTAACCTAATTTACGTTTAAGTGCTTAAGTATTTTGAATGACATTTTTATTTCAATGGTCTGCAATTGAATTTGAATTAAAAGTATTAAAAAACATGAGAGAGAGAGAGAGATTCTAAACAATTGTATTTAACCATACAATACATATAACGATGAAAAAACTTCAAGTGATTTGTTGCCAATCAATACCACCAAAAAAAAATATTTGCCATAACATGACATGTAAGCAAAAATTGCTGTCTTACACATGTTATATCATAGAAAACACTTTGTGTCGTAACATAAAAGTTAAAAATAAAAGTTAAAATGTGTTTTGAAAGGGTGATGACAAAAATATGTCGTGATTTTCCTTACACTTTAAGATTTCATTTATGAAATACTCCGGTATTTATTGGCAGACGAGAGAAAAACTACATGTCTTTTAATCAATCGATATATCGATTATATGTTTGTCTCTCCGAAAAAAAAGTTCAGGTTTTTAATGAAATGAAATAAAAAACTAAAAAATTACTTTTTATATAGAAAGGCAAATCCTTTTTTAAACATCACTAGTATATAGACATCATTATATTTATTCATTCAATGCATTTATTTCTATATATTACTGTCAATAGACTTGAGTACATAGAATATTCTGTATGTGTGTGTGAATGTGCTATACATAAGGCACAGAATATTCTGTGAGACAATTGTAGACAAAATGCAAAATACTTATCAATCAATGTCTACCCTATAGACATACTATTAAAATCAATGTTATTGCAAACTCAACACGGCTACTAATTATGATAGATACAGTTTTGTACATAAATTGCGTAATAATAATAAAATGCATATAAAAATAAATACAATAATTTACTTAAGCAAACTTATTTGTATAATATAATTCATATAAATAACATGCATTTTTGCATGCAATCATACTTAACTTAATACATTAACCATAAATAGGACTCTGAGCAAAATACAATTTTCCATACAATTACACAAGTCTCTGAATGTTGAGACAATAAGACTACTCAAATAAATACAATTGTGTACACTATTAGTGAGTTATGAATTGAATTAAATGAAATACAAATGTCATGTATGTGTACATTATTACAATACAACCAAAATGTATTGTCTCTGAACGCGAAAAAAATGATTGCATTTTATTTCTATAGCTAAGTCTCTCTCTCTCTCTCTCTCTCTCTCTCTCTCTCGTCAATTATTTTCTCTATATTTTGCAGTCTTTTCATTTCATTTGTCATTTATTTATTATTTCTCTCATGTCTTTTCATTCATACAGTACTGTATTGTATAAAATAAATGATAAAATAATTCAATTATTATACTAGTAATTAAAATAATTCTTTAAAAATTACAATTTATTTTCATTTAATGCTTGGTTAAAATAAAAAATAGTACATATCTTATAAAATTATAGCCACAATTATTTTATATAATTATAAATCAACCAGGGTCGTTCCTGTATAGTAATAACAATTGGCTTCATATAACATGGCGTGAAATGATGTGACAAACCATTCAATATATAGAAAATATAATTGATTTGTTCAGCAAACGAATAAATTCTGTATAGTCTGTAGAATATTCTGTATAATGTGAGTGCAAATTGAGTGCAAAAATACTTTACTCGTTATTAGGCAATAATTTTAATGAGCAAACAATTGGATAATAAAAACAAATGTTTCAAAAATATACATTTCATTACACAATTATTTTCCGATTCAATTATAATAATTTTTTTTACCGATATATTGATAAGTGAGGTGATTAATAATAAATTTATATTTAATTTTAATTAATTAACTTAATTACCCTGTTTATTTGATAATTGGCAATTTATTAATTTAGGCTTTAAATTAAGAATAATTCATTAATTAATTCATGAATTATTGTATGAATAAATACAGTATCATAAACAAACTCATAATTTATATACCAATCTAATTCTTATATAAAAAATTATCCAGGCATAATCTATAACAATTTATAATAACACGCTTTATAAACCACTTCAATTAAACCAATTAAACACCAAACCCTGTGCCCAAACCCCTATCCCCACCAAAAACTCCATACCCTTCCCATACACACACAACTCATATCATAACACATGTCATCGACACCCTCTTATCCTTATCCTTAGCCACATCGGGAGCTACCGGTGCTGTCTTCGCCTCCTCGTCCATACTATTCGCCCGATAGGCCGACACCTCGGAGTGGGTGCGCCTCTCAAACCAATCGCGTTTCAGTGACTGTCTGTCGCTATTAGACCGCAAACTAAAGGACTTCAGGAGCGACCTCTTGGTGCTACCGGTGCCATAGGGCGGGCCCACAAACTCGACCCGGGTATCGAAATACAGTCTCACCGCGTAATACACCCTGGGCATTTGTAGCAATGTGTGTTTGGTGGTAAACAGGGTCACGTCGATTTTGTCGGCTATTTCGTCCTCATCCTTGGCGAGCACCGGTATGGTTTCAGCGCACAGATAGGTCCACCGGTGTTCGACTCCCGGTGCCCGCCACTCGTCCCGCTCCATGAAAAATTCCAGGTGCCGTTTGCACGTGTATAGCGGGCCATGGAGATTGTGGTCATACATTATACGTATGTAATGGGACTCGAAGTTGCGCACCGGCTGTTTGCGGTTGAACACCAGGTGCTGTGGCTGCTCGTGGACTGACTCGTTGTGATCCCTGTCCTCCTTCACTTCAGTCAAGTCGTCAGGAGTTAACAAATCAGGGGTTACGCCGATTGGGTCGTCGTTTCGTAAGGTTTGGACGGCGTTTGGGTGACAGGTGTCGGTGTTGGTGCTGATAGAGTGGCGATCCTTGGCCTGGGAGTTGTTGGTGTTTTTGGTGAGCGCGGGCGCCGGTACTCGAGTGCATACGAGGCGCAGGCATCGCAAGTAAAATCCGATGTCATTGACGTTAACCATGAAATGGGTTTGGATTTCGTCCACTAGTTTTTGAAAGTAAAATAAGTTTTTTAATTAATATTTTAAGTGATTTTTAAATTATAAGCAAGCTAACAGTGGGTTAAACTTATTTTTCAACTCTCAAGCTTATCTAAGCTAGTAAAGTTATACCGTAAAAGTTTTATTCAGAAGTTACTATTAAATTATAGTGTTAAATAACTATTTGATTTGCTAGCTGACATTGTTCATAATAATAAATTATAAGTATAATTATTTAGCTATTATAAAGTATAATGAATTACTATAAGCATAATTAATTAGTTAACAGGGTATAAATTAACTCAGAAATAATTATTATAGCGCAAATTGTAAATAAACTATTTTAAAACAAAATTCAATACAGTACTAGCATATAAAAATCATTTAACTTTAAAATAGTGTAACTTTAAAATAAACAATGTAAATTTTAAACTCTAATTAATTTGCCACAAATTTCTAACCGCTTTTATATCTGACATCCAGTGTCTGGGCGTTGAGGACCCGGTACTCCCGGTTATCGTCGAGGAATTCCTGCACTTTCAGCAATAGAGTGGTGAAGGGCTCGAACTTTGGCGGCACTGGTAGCCCAAAAGGAAAGCCAAAAATTAATTTTTAAAAACAAGCAATTGTATCATAAATTCAAATATAATTTTGTAAAAAATGAAACATTAATTAAAATTCATTTATATATCACTTAACCCCAAACTAACTGACCATAACTACCTATCCTAGTAACTTTACCACAACTAAAAACATTTTAAAACTAAATGTCTGTCCCGCATACTGGCCCCATACTGACCTGTATTGGCCACTACGAGCT